ACTCCCAGGGACAGGGACAGCACGGGGTTAGATACAGAGTAAAGCTCTCTCTGCACTGTCCCCCATCAAATGCTCCCAGGGACAGGGACAGCACGGGGTTAGAGCCCTGTACACAGTAGAATGATGTGAACATGAGTGATGTTGCTAACAATTCTTTGCTTTCTGGTTAGATAGCATGTAGGGATGTCAGTGATCCTGTACCTGATGCTCCCATTCCCATCTCCAGCGCTGCTGTCAATTCTCTGCCTGCAGAAGATTCCCAGCGTTTGAGAGGACCCCATGCATTCAACAGGTGGGAAAGGAAAGACAACAGTCTGAGGGTGGGAACTGTACCAGGTACTGACAGGAGAGTCACTGAGGGTTGGAATCGTGGTCATGTTACTGATCCAGAGACCGGCAATAATCATTCAAAGTCAATTTGAATTTCGTTGCACCAGCCCTTCTTTGTTGTAATTACTGCATCCAGGCAAGTGGGGAGTATTCCATCACACTCCTGACTTGTGCCTTGTAGATGGTGGGACAGGTTTTGAGGAGTCAGGAGGTGAGTTGCTTGCCGCAGTATTCCCAGCTTCTGACCTGCTCTTGTAGCCACTGTGTTAATGTGGTGAGTCCAGTTGAGTTTCTGGTCAATGGTGACCCCCAGGATGTTGATAGTGGGGGATTCAGTGATGGTAACACCATTGAGTGTCAAGGGGCAGTGGTTAGATTGTCTCTTATTGGTGATGGTCACAGCCTGGCATTTGTGTGGTGTGAATGTCACTTGCCACTTACTGAGCGAAGCACTGTGCATTTCGTCTGTCTCAGGCTAGTGTCTTTCAAGCTCCTTCAGCACAGCTTGGTTCCCATGTTGTGGAATATTACTGACTACATCAGAAATCTGAAACAAGATATAAATACACGTAGCCTGATGATCAATAAACAGAGATATCACCTCTTAACACACAGGAAGGGAATTAAAGTTCAAAGTAGAAAAACAAAATATTTACATGGATTTAAGGTTGTTATTCATATCAGATTGGCACAATGCCTTATCTCTCCTTCACAACTATTTCTGAGGAGGGCACTCTGTCATCCAGGGAAAGCTTGACAGTGCCCATTCCCTCAGCACTGACCCTCCGACAGTGCGGCACTCCCTCAGCACTGACCCTCCGACAGCACTGGGATAATTTGTTTATGTTGTTGTATACGGTTATTTTCTGACCCAAGGTGAAGTTGTTGTTCACTGAGCCCTGGATATTCTAAGGGATTAATTAATTTATAGCTTGTCCCTTAAACTGGGCTAATTTTTTTTATCGGAATGAGATAATTGTGTAGAGAGGCTGAACGATTCTGTCCTTCACTTTGTTACCAGGACCTTCTCTTTATTTGTGATGTATGTAAGAGGCTTTAATGCTGTTCCTCTGTTGTGATCCAGCCCCGAAGGTTCTGTTGTTTTACCGGTCAAGTCTGATGTGGGGTCCCTGGAAAAGCAGGATCAACTGAAGGAGGTAGGAGATTCCGGTAATCTGGCATGTGGCACTGTTGATGGGGATGTGGAAGTGGGAAAGTGTGCGCTTTTGTGTTTGATTCACTGTGCTCGAGAGTTACCGACAAAGTAAAGCTCGGGTTAATAATCCCTCTGGACAGTCGGATCCCTAACCCTTTCCCAAAATCCCGGAGAGACGATCTGAGCGCCTCCTTCTGGCCCAGTCTCTGTTCTGCAGGTGTTACTTCTCCAAGAGTAAATCTGGAATAGAAGATGAGTCTCAGTGATGATAACCAGGAAATTATTATCAAAGTGGTTCACCAATGTTCTTCAGGAATAGAAATCTGCTATCCAAACCTGGTCCGACATGCACTGTAATGTTTATCCTTTTAACTATATCTTATTTCTAACTTATACTATGAATCACTGTGTGTAAAGCAAATTTATTTCTTCTTTATTCCTCTTTTTGTATCCAAGAATCTGTACCTAGGTACTTTGTGCCTAAGATAGTGCCATGAGGGGCAATATTGTAAACTTTTCACTGTTCTCCTGTACTCGAGTACATATGACAATAAAATCTAATTCTAATTCCTAACATGTGACTCCAGGCCCACTGTAGTGTTTGAACATGAGAGTGAGGTACATTGGGGCCCAGTAAGTACAGCCTGGGCTCCAGGGTTACTGTGCTATTTGGGCCAGCTACACATCCATTGTGTACTACAGCCCAGAACGAGGACCTGCGGCCCATCGTCGCCGTGCTGGCTATCAAACATCCAGCTGCTCGGATCCTGCTCTGCAGTATTTGGCCCGTAGCCTGGTATGCTATAGTGTTTAAGTGATCACTCCTCACTGTCTTCCAAACTGCCCAGTGGCTCTCTCCATCATTTCACACCCACCAGCATGAGCCTGAGGGGTGTAACACTGTAAATCATCTGGCTATGGGTACAATATTGTTGGAATGTGAGTGTAGCATTTATGTCCATTAGACCATAAGAAATAGGTACAGGAGCAGGCCATTCAGCCCCTCGAGCCTGTTCCACTGTTCATGGCTGGATCTGACATTCCTCACATCCACTTTCCTGCCCTTTCCCCTTGATTCCCTGATCGATCAAGAACCCATTTACCTCAGCCTGAAATATACACACAGACTCTGTCCCCACTCCTTAACTGCCCCTTGAGAATTTGGGGGTGAGCTGCCTCCTAGAACCACTGCAGTCCTACTGCTGGGGGTTGACCCACATTGCTATTAGGGGAGGGATTTCCAGGATTTTGACCCAGTGCCAGTGAAGGAATGGCGATATATTTCCGAGTCAGGGTGGTGAACGGCTCGGAGGGGAACCTGGAGTTGATGGTGTTCCCATGTATCTGCTGCCCCTCTAACTAAGGCTTGTGCTGTCTGATCCTCCTCTGACTCTCTCTACCCCAGGCGTACGCTTCATTGGCTATGAGAGATGAGGAAATCCTTCTGATTCAGCGTGGGGAGATGAGGGGCCGGAAAAAACCTCCACGTACGAAGGAAATCTTGCAGCAAGGTTTCAGGAAATACATGCAGCTCTTGTACGCTGAGACCCCACACATAGAGGTCAGTATCAGGACTCCGTGTGTGTCTGTGTACCCGAGCCTCTCTCTCTACCAGAGGTTTATAAAATCAAGAAGGACATAGATAAAGTGAATAACAAAGGCTTTTTTCCTTAGATGGGGCCGTTCAAAACTAGGGGACATATTTTTAAGGTGAGAGGAGAAAGATTAAAAAGGGACTGGACGGTTTTTTTTTTTTTGCACAGAGTGTGGTTTGTGTGTGGAATGAACTGCCAGAGAAAGTGATGGATGCAGGTAGTTACAACGTTTAAAAAGCATTTGGATAGGTACATGAATAGGAAAGGTTTGGAGGGATATGGGCCAGGAGCAGGCAGCTGGGATTAGTTTAGTGTGGAGCTGGAGGAGCACAGCGTAGCATCAGGTCCCAACCCGAAACGTCAGCCTTCCTGCTCCTCTGATGCTGCCTGGCCTGCTGTGTTCATCCAGCTCTACACTGTGTTATCTGTGACTCCAGCATCGGCAGTTCTTACTATCCCTGAGTGGGACTAGTTTAGTTTGGGAACATGGAGAGCATGGACTAGTTGGACCGAAGGGTCTGTTTTCGTGCCGTATGACTCCATGACTCTATCTCTTTGCCAATATCTCTCTTTGTGTGTATCTCTCTGCCTGTGAGTCTCTCTCAGTCACTCTGCGTCTGTATCTCTCCGTGCACATGTCTGTGACATCTTTTGTTATTTCCTATCTCTGCCCAAACTGATTCTACATTTTGATCCTCTGAACCACGATCATTTCCCACGACAGTATTGATATCCTTAATTAACAACTCATCTTCCTTTCTTCTTTCCCACCAAAATGTCAAATACCCCTGAAACAACCAAGTTCCAGAGATAGTAGGAACTGCAGATGCTGGAGAATCTGAGATAACAAGGCGTAGAGCTGGATGAACACAGCTGGCCAAGCCGCATCATAGGAGCAGGAAGGCTGACATTTTGGGCCTAGACCCTTCATCAGAAACCAAGGGTCAAGGCCGGAAACATCAGCCTTCCTGCTCCTATGATGCTGCTTGGCCTGCTGTGTTCATCCAGTTGTCCACTGCTTCTCAGTTTCACTTTGTACAGCTTCCCCAGTTGTAACTACTCCCCACCTACACGCACAGCACTTTTACAGCCCTAATTAAATGAATTGTCCTTCCCCAGTACAGTTCAGATGAAGATTATTCCAATAGTACAGCTCCCACTTTCCCAATACTCATGCCAATACCCCAGAAATTGAAACTCTAAGTCATAATATCATAGAGATGTACAGCGCAGAAACAGACCCTTTGGTCCAACTCATCCATGCCGACCAGATATCATAGAGAAATCTAGCCCCCTGTTGCCAGCATTTGGCTCATATCCCTCTGAACCTTCCTATTCATGTCCCCATCCAGATGCCTTTTAAATGTTGTAATTGTACCAGCCTCCACCACTTCCTCTGGCAGCTCATTCTGTACACGCACCACCCTCTGTGTGAAAATGTTGCCCCTCAGGTCTCTTGTATATCTTTCCCCTCTCACCTTAAACCTACGTTCTCTAATTTTGGGCTCCCCCACCCTGGGGAAAAGACCTTGTCTATGCACCTTATCCATGCCCCTCATGATTTTATAAACCTCTATAAGGTCACTCCTCAGCTCCGACACTCCAGGGAAAATAACCCCAGTCTATTCAGCCTCTCCCTATAGCTCAAACCCTCTGACCTTGGCAACATCCTTGTAAATCTTTTCTGAACCCTTTCAAATTTCACAACATCTTTCCATAAGAGTTCTCCCGCACCAGTCTCTGAGCCATGCAAACATAAGAGAGTGTGGTAAGTGGGATTGATTGGACAGTTAGAAGCAGACACAATGGGTAGAATGGTCTCTTTCCGTACTGTACAGTTGTCCCATTTTAACGTGACGCCCTGTTACAGAGGCAGAGGGCTGGGTATTGACTATGAGAGCTCGGTGTGATCAGTTGGCTGGATGGCTCATTTGTGATGCAGAGAGATGCCAACACTGTGGGTTCAATCCCCATCCCTGACTGGGGTCAGTGTGAAGGAGCCACCTTCTCATCCTGGTAACATTATGGTGACATTCACAGTGATTGGGTTGGGGGGGGGGGGCGGTTTGCTGGGGAGGGGGGAGTATTGATTCAGGTTCTGTATTCCAGCCCTTTTGGAAGAGAACAATGGGGCTCCGTAAGACATGGGAGCATGAAACCATTCAACCCACCGAGTCTGCTCCTCTATTCAATGAGATCATGGCTGATCTGATAATCCTCAAGTGCACTTTTACTGCCTTTTCCCCATAACCCTTGACTCCCTCACTGATTAAGGACATAGAACACAGAACATAGACCAGTATAGCACAGTACAGGCCCTTCGGCCCACGATGTTGTGCCGACCCATTATCCTACTCTAAGATCAATCTACCCTGCATACCCTACATTTTACTATCATCCATGTGTCTATCCAAGAGTTGCATAAATGTCCCTAATCAATCTGACTCCATGACCAACGCCGGCAGCGCATTCCACGCACCCACCACCCTCTGTGTGAAGAACCTATCTCTCACATCTCCCCTATACCTTCCTCCAATCACCTTAAAATTATGCCCCTTGTAATAATCATTTCCGTCCTGGGAAAAAGTTTCTGACTATCCACTCTGTCTATGCCTCTCATCATCTTGTAAACCTCTATCAAGTCACCTCTCATCCTTCTTCACTCCAATGAAAAAAGCCCTAGATCCCTCAACCTTTCCTCATAAGACCTGCCCTCCAGTAAAAATCTGTCTGTCTCAGCCTTGAATAGACTTAATAACCCAGTCTTGGCAGCTTTCTGTGGTAAACAATTCCACGGGTTTGTTCCCATCTGACAGAAGAAATTCCTCCTTGTGTCTGTTTAAGTAGACGACCCCATTAATACTGAGATGATGGCCCTCTGGTCCTGGAATCTCCCATAAACGGGAAACACCCTCTTGACATCTACCCTGCCAAGTTCCCAAAGGTTTGGGGGTTTAAGGTTTCTTGAAGCCAGACCCAATCAGCCTTTGTCCTGACTGCTGCACATATCATTTTGTAAGATTCCCGAGATTCCAATTTACGATCCGAATGAGCGGCTGGTGGACCTGAAGAGTCTCCTCAATCGACCCCATCAATGTAGAAACATCGTCAGAGGATTCTTCCCACCGCTGGCACGGCCGGAGCCTTGGTCTGAGGTCACCGCCAAAGAGAAAAAAGTGAGTATTGTCAGGAAACCGTACAGGCCAACACATCCTGTGGTGACTCTGTACCGGGTCAGTGCTGAGGGAGCGCCACACTATCGGAGGGTCAGTGCTGAGGGAGCGCCGCACTGTTGGAGGGTCAGTGCTGAGGGAGCGCCGCACTGTTGGAGGGTCAATGCTGAGGGAGTGCCGCACGGTCGGAGGGTCAGTGCTGAGGGAGTGGGCACTGTCGGAGGGTCAGT